ACATAGATGCATGCCCTTAATGTGCATTAATTTAGGCTAATGTGCATTGAAGCCTCATGTGTAGACACGCCCATTGAGGAACATATCAAGTAACTTATTTTTCTTTTCAAACATCAGAAGTCAACTTCCAGCCACTTTGCTGTCAAAATGCAGAAAAATATCAGCTTACAAACATTACTTCTGTGAATGTAACATGCTGTTGAATGTCAGGGTGGCTTTCACTAAAATCTGTCTGTTGACTTAGTCTCGCTAAACTTGGCTACCACTCTCAATACCATTGTTACAATCACAGAAGGGAAAGTTTACTTTGACATTTCAAACTAAATTAATATGCACTATTGTTTCCTTCACTACAAAGGCCATTGCCATCACAACTGCAGTACTGGAACTTTATTCTTTTTGTGTGCCTGCATAGGCTTGTTTATAGTAAGTAGATTTCTCTTTGTTAACGTTAGGATTTCATGCTTGTGATCATGGGACTGCATGAGCTCCCCCTAGTGGCTCATGAAATATCTGCAAATTCCCATCAGTAATCAGAGCCCCTGTTTTTTTTGGACAAGTTGGCTTCAGTTTAGAAGACAACACTATAATGCTGGGTTGTGTTAGTTTTACCTTTTTGTGGCTGAATTGTCATTATTAGATTTATTTTGAGAAACCTTTTAAAAGTAATGAGTGAGGATAGAGACTAATGCCATCTTCTGAATGATGCAAAAGTATGAAGGAGCAAAGTTACAAAAGGTTCCATTTAAAAATGAGGAAGTTCAGCAAGTTGCCAAATAGACTATTTTGCCTTTTCTCACTGAACTCCCAGATCAAGGTATGTGAATACAGGAATGAGGAGGAAGCAACTGAAATCTGTCATGTGTAAGGTGGTCACTTAGAGCCTTGTAACATGTTGCACTTTTTGCTGCTCAAATGTTGGTCAGTGTTAGTGCTAGCTAGGGGTTTGGAGCAGTCTCACCTTAAGGCTAAAAACCACCTCTGACTGACTGTCCCCCACCTGCACAGCTTTGACTTGCCACTAGAGGACTGGTGAGCCAGAACAGGCTTCTATCCCTGCTCTAGGTGGGGACTGAGGGTGGGGGTAAACTTGGAGGGAGGTAGGAACATGAAGCTAGGAGGTAGAGACTTAATGGGTTGGTGGTATCTAATAAAATGGGAGGGGTGGGGGAAGGGTAATGAAATGATGGAAGTCAGCCACTGAAGGGGAAAAAAAGAAGAAATAAAGAGTAAGTAAATTAAAGAAGATCTCATGTTTTAATAAATTAGGATTGGGATAGAATGTGGGGGGTGCTGGTCATGCTCCTTGGGGTAATTGGGAGGTGGGAGTGGTGAGGTAAGGCACTTTTGAGGGAGCTACTGCCCTTGACCTGGGAAGGAAGCCTGAGGTCATGAGGACCCAATCTGGTCCCTTACCTTGCTCCCCCCCATGCCTCCTCGACCCCACTCCTAGATCTACCCATGCTCCATGACCTGGCTAGCTGGCATTTTTCCACAGGTTTGCACCCCTGCGTATGGGAAGGTCAAACCCCCAGGGCTAGAAGGGGGAGATGGTTCAGTACCAGAGCCACACGCTGGGCAGTAGAGTTCAGGGGGTGGAAAGTTTTTTAACATGGAACAGAAGGGTGGGGGAGGGGACACTGCATTCTGGGAAGCTGGAGGACTGCAACTTGGGCAGCTCATCTGTGAGGAGTGGCCACACATTGATGGAACATGATCTGGGTAATACGGATTGGAGATAAACCTGCCCTGGATTAGTGTAACTTTGCCCAAAGTGTGCTTAAACTGCCCAAAGTGTGCTTTAAATTATTTAAAGGTGTTAACATGTGGACAGTGCAGGGGTTGGGAGCTCCAGGAGCTGCCTAAAATTAAGATCCTTATATGCCTAGAACTTTTGTCGTTACAGAGAGGGCTTTTTGTATAAGCACTCTGACACAAATGGAATATTTATAGTATGGATTTACTTTTTACTGTCATAGATTCATAGATGTTAGGGTCGGAAGGGACCTCAATAGATCATCGAGTCCGACCCCCTGCACAGGCAGGGAAGAGTGTTCCAGACTTTGGCCACTCTAACTGTGAAGAAGTTCTTCCTAATGTCCAGTCTAAATCTGCTCTCTGCTAGCTTGTGGCCATTATTTCTTGTAACCCCCGGGGGTGCCTTGGTGAATAAAACTTCACCAATTCCCTTCTGTGCCCCCGTGATGAACTTATAGGCAGCCACAAGGTCGCCTCTCAACCTTCTCTTGTGGAGGCTGAAAAGGTCCAGGTTCTCTAGTCTCTCCTCGTAGGGCTTGGCCTGCAAGCCCTTAACCATACGAGTGGCCCTTCTCTGGACCCTCTCCAGGTTATCCGCATCCCTCTTGAAGTGCGGTGCCCAGAATTGCACGCGGTACTCCAACTGCGGTCTGACCAGTGCCCGATAGAGGGGAAGTATCACCTCTTTGGATCTATTCATCATGCATCTGCTGATGCACGATAAAGTGCCATTAGCTTTTCTGATGGTTTCGTCACACTGCCGACTCATGTTCATCTTGGAGTCCACTAGGACTCCAAGATCCCTTTCCGCTTCTGTGCCACCCAGCAGGTCATTCCCTAGGCAGTAGGAATGCTGGACATTTTTCCTCCCTAGGTGCAGCACTTTGCATTTCTCCTTGTTGAACTGCATTCTGTTGTTTTCTGCCCACTTGTCCAACCTGTCCAGGTCTGCTTGCAGCTGTTCCCTGCCCTCCGGCGTGTCCACTTCTCCCCACAGTTTTGTCCTTTCAATATTTTTGTTTAAACATATATTTTTAACAAGTTTAGTGTACTGGGTTAATTTGGCATATAGGAGGTGCACTTAGAGATCTTTTTTGGAACATTTGTTGGAATAAACATAATCAGCTCTTTAACTTTGATTTCTGTCACATTGGAAAATGGGTTACTATTTTGAGGGACTAATCCTGTGAAGTGCTGAGCACTTTGAGTGATCTCACTTGGAGTGGAGGCCAGGCCCACTTCACAGAGGTGCTAGGTAGAAACAAATTGTACAACAGTCAGACATTCCATCTGTTTTAGAAATATTTTTTTCTGAAACTGGAAAATGTGTTAGATAAGAGGGTAACATTTTAACCTCTCAGACCCATAACAGTGCAAAACATTGATCACTCAATTTTACAACAGAGAATTAAATTTAGAGTTTTTTTGTAGGTGTTTTATCTATGTGGAATGTGCAGAGGCAGTTCCTAGATAAACTTGAAAGCAGCCCTGCTTAAGAGGGGGAGTCTCTGCAATGTTATCAGCCACAGCCACAGAGATAACATTTTATCATTAGGTGTTGGAAACAGTCATCTGTCTGAAATGCATATTACCATTCATGTATATGAAGCTGTCAATCTTTTCTCTGTTTTTTCTTTTCTTTTCAATAACAGCATGCTTTGAGGACAGTTCTTTCTAAATCTTCCTGGGCAGCTATAACCAACTACCAGAATAAAAACCTCACTTTTACCAGCCTGTGTCTACTGCCTCCCATTTACATGGTCATTTATTATCTCAGCCCCTGATTCAAGGAAATTGACTGGTTAAAAGCAAATATATATTCTGCTGATACTCTAGGTTAAATGGCAAATTAAAACTCATTACACTCATCATTCTGTAGAGGCACTTTTTCTTTCTTTTATTGTTCCTCCCAATGGTGCCTCCATTTTTTGTTCCCTGTTTAATTTTTTGCCAATCCATTGCATCCAGTGAACAAAGGGACATTTTGTTCTTCAGTGATAAGGGCCCAGCTATGCAGATTTGTGAGATGGTATATAAGTAGGGACCTACCTACTCAATTTGCGATTTGCAGACTTTGTGGGAACTGCGAAACCAGGCATTGTCTGTGAAATTGCTCAATGTCCACAAAATACACACACACACACACACACACACACACACACACACACACACACACACACACACACACACACACACAAAACTTACTAAAAATAAAATGCTGACTCCCCAGTGGGATCCAGAGGTCTGTATGGCTTCTACGGCTCCTGCTTGGGGGGGGCAGGGTGGGGTGAAGCCACTGGTGTGACGGGGAACAGCCAAGACAGCAGCCATCCCTTACCCCTCATTGCTGATTGGCTGAGAAGACTGCCCATTGCACATGGCCACATGACAGACAACCCTCTCAGCCAATCAGTGGTGAGGGATGGGGCCACCAGTCCCCTCGGCCAATTATAAGCATGCTGCGATGAAAATGATGGCCAGCTCCGTGATGGGCCTGCAAAACCCGCCACTTGCCGCCTCAATTTTCGTAGGTCTATGTATATGAGACCTGTGCAATCAGAAAGGCACAGTAAGAATCTCTTGATAGTCTGTGACTACAACCATGTTCTATTGTGATTTAGGGCTTAGGAAGAGAGCTAGCTGGCTGTGTGAGAGAATGCTGATGAGTTAGTAGACCTTTTTTTTTCTGTGCCCCAGAAGGACAGATTTTGATACAATTTGTAGCATGCTCTCAATATAATTTTCATGTCTTTTAGCAGATATTTAACAGTTGACTACAAAACATTTTTTTTCTGTGGACTTAGGAGGGGAGATTATCAACCATATTCTGTGTCCACAGGGTAGAGAAGTAATGGGCTTAAACTGTAACAAGGAAAATTTAGATTGGATATTAGGAAGAACTTTCTAACTATGAAGGTGGTTAAGTGACAGGTTACCTAGAAAGGTTATAGAATCTCTATCACTGGAAGTTTTGATGTGAAAATTGGGCAGACATTAACTTGAGTTTAAATAAGGGTATTCCTGCCTGAAACATTGGGGCAGCCTAGACATCCTCCAGTGGTCACTTCAGTCCTCTTTTTTTCTATGACTCTATATAGTACCTTCTTCCTCACCATGCTCATAATGACTGTAATGAGGTTCCATCTTTTATGTAAATGTTACTCAAAATGACCTTTCTATTTCTTCATTATACATTATATTTGATATATGGGTGACATTCTGTCTGTATCATTTTGTTCCAGCTCCATCTAATGCATTGGAATTCTACACTATACAACAGTATTGAAGAGGCAGTTGGGAAAAAGCACGGAATAGCTATTATTGCTTTGTTTGTGCAGGTAAGTAATCACATATCATCATTTAACTTAGGTAAATGTATCCCCTTCTACTTTCTACTACTTCATAAAATAAAAGGAATCCACAGCTGCTAGTATTTATTATAACTACTGTTTTCTTGAAATGTTTTTAGTGCATATGGTAACTAAATAGTACCTGATTAAAGAACAAACTGAAAACAATGCAGCTGAACAAATAGAAGGCATATAATAAAACTGCTTTGTGCTGTGGTCCTCTCATGTTAGACAAGCTAAATATCAGGGGTACTGCTGTTTAATTTTCAGTGCTGAGATGGCATATTTTTAAGGACTTTAAAAAGTAAGTGGTTTGGGCAGTTGAGAAGGAGGCAGTTTGTGAAGTTGTGAAGTTTCACTCACGAGTGAAAACTACCAGGTTAGGTAGTACTGTGCTTTTGCAGGTACAAAAAAAATGAAGTACTGGTCACTTCACTGCTTATTAAGAATCTTATCATCTGGAATAAGAAACCGGCTGTTAACTTCAGTCCTGCCTCAATTTTCACTCGAGTAACATGGCCCACCTACTTTACATTTTCTCTGGTTTCAGCTGGAAAAATATATTCTTCAATTTTTGCCTTAAATTGTAGTGTGCTGCTGGATAAAGTCATGCACATTTGCAGCTACCCATTAATTGTGGCAATACTACACAGCCCTGGGCAGGCCTTGTTGGAACAAAAGAGATGTGTTCCATCTGGGTGTCATGCCTCCTGTAGCTTTTATGAGCAGAGGTAATGTACCATCTTTGAACTGCACTCTCTTCAACTCTTGGTCAGGTTTCTTGCTCAGGGCATAGGCTGTATACAGGGAAGGGAAGAGGCAAAGAGGAAAGGCGTATGTGTGGCTATGGCTCTGACTGTGGCCTGGCTCCTTAGCACAGGGTAGAGCTGTCAGTGGGACTAGACCTGCAAAGCATGGGGCACTTTTATAATTTGGCTTCTGCACTAAAAACTGTAAAATGGAAAAGGCTCTCTGTATTCAGAGACGTCAAACAAGGTGTTGGTGGTTGCTGGTCACTAGGCAGGCCCTCAGAAGTGTCCTGGCTGAGGAGTTCCTGTGGTCTTTTGATGAGGATGAACAGGAGTTTGAACTGTATGTTCATACTGTGTGAACATACCCTAAGTGACGCTGAAGGAACTTAGAAGACTGTGAACCTTATGAAAAACTCATTATGTTTGAACCCGAAGCATCGATTTCGCAGAGCCCCAATCACAAGCAGTGAACTGTTCCATTTAAGTATGTTTGAAGAAGAGAGTTATGATTTAATATTTAGATCAAATGGATTTCCTTTCACAATTATATTGTTAATTTGTCTTCTTTTATAACAAGCTTGTGTGTGCCTTTGAGCTTTACTTCGATTTGAATTTAAAGGTGCATTAGTTACAGCTCCAATGTTGAGAAACTGTACTGTACAGCTAAGAAATAACTAAAAACTCTTAGTTCTCTTGGTTTTGTATCCTAGAGGGCCACAGTTAAATTGCTTATGTAAGAACCCTCTTCTTCCAGCGGAGGTAACCTTGGAGTTAGCTAGAAAGTTACATAAAATTCTTAAATAACTTTTTGAATTTTAAATGATATCTTTTCCATTTCTAGCCTCTTACCGTAGTCATGGCTCTTAAACATTCCAAGGTGATTTCTCATTAGCTAAGAAAGACTCCATATAATTAAAATTTGATGAAGGAAGCATTATATTTAATGCTGCTAATTAATAGCACAGTGAGAAAACAAATTCAATCACAATATTCTTCACATCTATTAAAGAGGGACCTCATACAAATCCTGTGAAAGCAAATGAAAATCTTCCCACTGACTTCAGTGGAGGTTGGCTCAGGCTGTTGATTATTAAGTTAAAGCAGCATAGTTAAATTATTTTCAGTTTGTTTAGATATTATTGTTTATAACCATTGATTGAAGACTTTAAGCTGAAGTCTGTTTCTGAGTATGTGTCCTACTACACAACTTGCTCCCCAAACATCTCTGTCCCAGAAATTTTTTTTATTGAGTATAGAAGTCTCAGGTGCTTTAAGAAAATCTCGCCTGCATTCCTGAATACACAGAAAATCGCATTTGAAAAATAAATTAGAAAAAAAAGGCTAATTTAAGTTGTCAGCACCCTCCCAAAGATAAAATCTGTGTCTGTGGCTCCTCGTACACGAGTATGTAAAGAGTAACTGCACTGAAATGTTCAGGGTGAGTGACATTAAAAACAAACCTGTAAAGTTTTATGAGATCCTGACTGTTAGAATGACATTTTCCAAAACACCAACTTAGAAGTATAAGTCTCAAAAGTACAAGTTCCATTAAGGCTCAAGGGGACTCTTGCTCTTAAATTATTTGGGTGCCTTGAAAAATACTGTCACTGCTCTGCTCTATTTTATTTAAGTTTTCTATCCTTCCTGTCACCATAAAGTAATATGACTAGCATCTGTTATTTGTGGTTCATTTTCTCTTCTTCTCTTGGAATAATTGTGTGCTCATTTTAGTGATACATTTTGGCAGGCTCTCTTAAAACTTTTTATAAAGTATATGTGCATACTGCTCACATAGTACTTCTATAACTAGTCCTGCAACATATTGAATTTAAACAGTGACATCCAAGTGTGGTTTTGCCTATGCACATAAGCATGCCGCTCCCATTGAAATCAATGTCAGATGTGTGTGTGTGTTTGTCAGTATAGAGGTATTTCAAGGAAGAGTTTACCCCTGATTCTTTAAACATTTATTTTTAAACTTGCTTTCCTTATCAGCATTTTGTCTGCTTTACAAGGACATTCAATAAAGACATGGGTGAAATCCTGCCCAGAAATGAATGAAAATCTTTTACCCTGAACTAAAATGAGGTCAGGATTTCATGTATGTAATTTAAAAAGAGGGTGTTTAACTATGATTCTGCACTTCTCACCTGAGCAAAAGTCCTATTGGCTTCAAGGAAAGGTAAAACTCAGTGTTGGAGTGTTGGGCCCTTGTTTTACAATGTTGTAGGAACAAATTCAAAGGTTTCTGTCATAGTTGTACACTCAGTTCTTTTATGTGCACATTTCTAATACCAGCTAGTAAGGACAAATCATACATAGCCTTGGCATTTTTGTCACAACACTGCGTCATTTTGACCTTATGTGCATTACGTGCTACAATACTGATTGTTTATCGACTTTGACTTTTTAAAATGTTTTATCAGTTTGTCACAGCTTTTAAGTTATTTAAACCTAATTTCATTTTGGCCAATGACTCTTTTTTTGTATGTGATTTAATAGCTATTGTTTGAAGTTGCTATGTAATAGTATTTAGTTAATACAAGGTCACGTAACTTTACTACAAAGGAGTACTGATCTGGTTGTACTTGTTGCCCTGTTTCTTGCTTTACAATTTTTCAGAAACAACATAGCACCACCATTCACCTTTGGGTTTGTTTGTTTGTTTGTGATGTCTTAGATAGGAAAGGAACATGCAGGCCTAAAGGCTGTCACCGAAGTTCTTCAGGACATCCAGTACAAGGTAAAGCATTGTCTGAGGGAAATATAAATACTTCCTTTGCTGACAGAGACAGACTAAATGGAAAAAGGGTAAATATGATAAAGTGAGGCAGAAAGAACAGGGTCAGAAATATTTGTGTTACGATACCATATGGGAACTATTAGAAAGTCAATATTTAACAAGAGATACCACAGGGTTATTATGGTTATTTCCTCTTCTGACTGCAGGGAAAGTTTGATCTCTTACATTGGTAATTGTTGGCAAGTACTGACTTCTTTATGATAGTAATATGTTGTCAATATGAACACAACAACTAAGAAAAGATAAAGGATATACCATATGTACTCAGATATCAGAAGATCCTGAATCTAAGATGTCCCCCCAATAATTAGATTCTATATCTGGAAAATTTATAAATTTATTAAAATTTTCCAGATATAGAATCTAGTGATTGGAGGTTTGTCTTGAATTTGTCCCTCTCTCACTACTACAGCAGGGAAAATAAACCTGCGGGTGGGGGTAAGAGCAGGTGGCCCCTTTGCCCTCTTCTCCCCCCCCCCCCCCCCCCCCGCCTCCCCAACCTCTTTTCCCTGTAGCCTCTTTTCCCCATCCCTTACCATTAGACCCTGCTTTATCTGAGCATATGGAAGTGAGGGACAAATTTTAAAACATTAATTGTAAAATAAATATACCTATACTTATTTGCATATAGACAAATTATTATAGATATCCATAGACATTTTACCCTTTTTTCTAACTGCTGCAAGTTTTAGCACAAGTATGACATAAACACACTTGTAAGTAGCACAGTTATATCTACTTATATATAGGGGTCAATTAAACTTGAGGTGGCAGCCGACTTATTTTGTGGGCAGATCGTGGGGCTGGCCACCATTTTCACAGGCTTATCATGGTGGAGGCCCCCCATGCATCTGATTGACCAAGGAGCCCTGGTGGCCCTGCCCTTCACTGTTGATTGATGGAGAAACCATCCATCAAATGGCCCTGTCCCTTACTACTGACTGGATGAGAGAGCTGTCTGTAATGGGGCTCCACCACTCATTGCTGACTGGAGAGGGGCAGGGCACCATGACAGACAGCCCTCTCAGTCAATCAGTGATGAGGGGTGGGGTGGCAGCCATATTGCCCATTTGCTTTAATGCCAGCAGCCCCTTTTGTGCCAGGCTGAACAGCTGGCTCTCACTGAAGAGCTAGCACTTACTAAAAATAAGTAGGTTTTTTTGTTGGAGATTGCCTGATTTCATGATTTCCACAAAATCATGATATGAGTAAGACCCTACCTTTACATAGTACAAACTATGCATGATTTTAAGTCAAAGCCAAAAGGCTCATGATTCACTGTGTGGTTCATTGGGCTGGGCCCCAGCAGAGTCAACAACATTTAAAGCTATGGTGACTGCACAGCCCAGCACTGCTTAGTATGTGTGTGTACTTCAGATAGACCTCACAAAGGATCCATGTACGAATTACCTGCCCCCCCAACTCATGACTGGAATTGGGTGTTCTTAATACAAGTCTTGGGATCCTTCAAAAAGTTATATGCAGATGAGGCACAGGGCCTCCTGGTCCAGCTTTATCTCATGGGAGGCAGAACCATACTAATCACATGCCACAGGCCAAGGGAGGGGGCAACAGAGGTTTTCACTTACATGGACATTTGGAGGTATTTGCCAGACATTTAAGGCTGCTGAAGAATTGGGAATAATTGGAACTGGAAAAGAAAGATGCTCCTCAGCTGTGGGAGTGAAGAGGAAGTTGAGATGTATTCAATATAGTGCTTCAACATGAGTTGAAAAAGAGTCAGTGCTGAAAGGTACTGAACGCAATGGGTACTATGAGGTAGGCTTCATTAATATATCCTTGTTGTAGGTTCCCATCAGTATGTTTGCCCCATATGGGCCGTATGTTTTATAGGCATGCTCAGTGTTGGGTGCATTTAATCAACTTCATAGCTGGTTTCTATTACTAAGAAATGCTGTTTCTGGAAGCAATTTAATGATAGACAGTATATTAAATAAAGCTTTCTTGTTTGTAAATGTAAGACAAGGGTTTTTTTCCCCATGCTGACTGGGGGGAAAAGTGTCTTATATTTGAGTAAATATGGTATGATGCATGTTCAGAGAATACCAGCATCTGTATCCCTTGGCCTGTGATGTTTCATATTATATAAGAACAGAATGTACAGATATAATACTTGCATAAACTTACAGCTGGACTTCAGGTATAGCACAGTGGAACCCTATTAAATTGCTTGAAGGAATCAGTGGACATCTCTACACAAGATGCTGCTGCGCAGTAGCAATGAGATATTGTGCAGTAGCTTGTTGCTACCGCACATAGCATTGCTGGGCACTAACTATGCGACAACGCTACTGTGCAGTAGTAATGAGCTGCTGCACAGTAGTTCGTTGCTACTGCACAATAGCTTTGGAAAAAACTGTGTGACATTACTGCACAGTAATGCATAAGCAAGTACTAAATGACTGCATAGTAACAATTGCGCAGTCCGCTGCTCATGTAGATGCAGCCACTGCAGTGAGATTCTAGAGAGCTGGGTTGAAAGCTCTGATAATATTTGCTGTGTGACCTTGGGCAAACCACTTAATCTCTCTGCCTCATGATGCCCAATTGTCAAATAGGACAATAATGTTTACCTTCCATTAAAAATGCTTTGTGATCTATGAATAAAAAGTGCTTCATAGGCATCAAGAAAGTGCCAGTTAATTGAAATGGTCATGAAAATGTTGGAAAATTAGGATCTAATATCATTCTTTTTTCAATTAAACTGAATTCTAAATCTTGTTTTAGGTGAACGATACATTATGTGCTTCAGGTGTCATATTCATTTTTAGAAACTATCATCTTTTGCCTGTGTCTGAAAAAAAAGAGAGAGTATAGAGAACTCTTTATGCCCTGATTATTGGAAGTAGAAATGAAAGTAGGAAGGTCATGAATGTCCACTTTAATGTTAGCATATTTTACTAGTGACCTTCATAGAGTCAGGAAGATGCACATTTTCTGCATATATACATTTAATTTGCATTAAGTATACTAAACTTGTCCTATAAGGTACTATGCATGAAAGCCACATGTTGTCAAGACCAGGTATTAGACAAAGGTAGGATCCAGGGTTACAGTAATTAAATCAGGGTGTCCAGACCATGTATCCGAAGAGAAACAAGATCAGGAGCTGTAATTTCTGGCTCAAGGATAGGCAATGTTGAGTTGACTACTGTTGCTTCTTTCTAACTCCCTTAAATGAGTGAGCAGTTTCCCACTTCCTGTGTGGTATGAATCAATGGCGATCAATGACAGAACAGCCAAACAGGCTGTAGTTGTGTAGACATAGATCCTCCTACCTGGTGAGCCATCAGCCTGCACATGAAGGTATTATCACAAATCCCATCTGAATTCTACTTTATTGTAATAAAGATAAACTATTAAGAAGTTTAGGATTATTTTAAGCTAATTTAAAGTATTGGAATGTTACAGATGTTCCCAGCAAATTTTACAATTCATGGAATTCATCATAAGGCTTCTTAATTTACAGGCTCAATTCAAAACTGATTGAAGTCAATGGAGATTTTTTTCAATGTATTCTGGATTGTGTTAAATCAGTGTTCCCAGAGTTTTTGGATTAGCAGACTGTTGTCAACCATCAACATGTCATGCAGATCAACATGCACCCTTATCTTCACATTTTTAATTGAAGCAAGGGGAGCAACACAAACAAGGGGAGCAGCACAATCTACAGAACACTTACTATGGCCTTCAAGGCCACTAGTGGTCTGTTGACTACAACATGGGAACTGCTGTGTTACCAGAAATGCAAATCCATGCTCAGGTCTTGGGAAGTGTATGTAGGAGTGAACTGGTTTTCAAATGGTTGATTGAAAGATACACCTTTATTTAGTTAGATTTATTATACGTACTGGTAATCCTATTTAAAACAGGACAATACATCAGCTGTAAACCAAGGACAATTAAAAGGACCTCTATAGGTCTTTTGCAGCCCTACAGAGATACCATAGCTATGGTTTACTATTTATAAATACATATATAATATATAACAAAAGAGTCTTCTGTAATTTAAACCTCTGATTCTTTAGTAATTTTACATATAAAAAGTACTGCTGATGTTTTGATATCCTTTAAAAACAAATCTTTATAATTCACTTGTAAAAGTCAATTACATATACATGATAATGTTTATTCTGTCTTTGGGTGCATGCATGCTGCCATCCCTTGAATTGAAAGGGCCATATTAGTATTTGTCCAAGGGCAGAATATAGGCCTCAGAAATTCTGGAGAAAACAGGCAATTTAGGCAAAAGTTCAGTTAGGTCCTGATCTGTAAATTCACTGTATGTGGAATTCAGGAATCTTAAATTAGCAAATAGAGGGATGAAGAGCTTTTAGAGTATCTCAATCAAGAATGAGGGACTAAGCTATCTGAGAGTTACCAAAATAGGCTATATATCCTTGGATCAAAAATACAAAGTAAAAATAAATAAAAAGATGTTTGTATAGCTGCAAGGACAAATGTAATGATGATTTGTGGAGGCTAATGACAGTGGATGACCTGAACAGAAATTCAAGGCTTACTATTATGCCAGTATTCAGAGTTTTTTATTTTCCCTTCAATCTCTGTTGAACTGGAGATGAGATGGATTTGTATAATTTTTTTTCAGGGGAAGTCCAAAACAATACCCTGTTTTAATCCCAACTCATTGTTACCAGGTAGGTGGTGTTTATATATATCTCAAACATTTTCTTACTAGTGTAAATTGACTGTTATGAATGTTGCATTCTTGAACAGTTGACTGCCTCATGCCACTTCATAAAATCCCTATTGCAACTCATGCTGTTCTGGAAAGCAGCTTTAATGTGGCTGGATTACCAGATAAAACTGTCTATATCTCTGGATGTGGACCACCCCTTAGACTAACAGTGAAGATGATTATAAGCAATTTACCCATTGAGAAGCCATCTTCTTCCTCGTGGTGATAAAACATTATTTTTAAAGTCCTGCCACTGTGATATGGTTGATGAAATTCAAACAGAAGGAGGAAAACTGGTACTCATGTGTTGTCAGCAACATGTATTTCTAGGCACTCTGGCATCTTAGAGGCACAGGCTAGGGTGACGTGGAACAGCTTCATTACAGTGGAAATTCTAGTATTTCTCTGAGCATTCCAGTGAGCTGCTTGAATATGCATCCCTGCATCCCTTAAAATTGCACAGCATCCATTAGTCCCTGACCATCTATCTTGAGAATTTCCCATCCCTGTTGAGGAAGACTTTAGATCCCTTTAGGGTAGGGTTGTATGTTATCCTTGTCCCATACTCTGTACTTCAGCAGGCATCCAGGGACAGGTATTTATTTCTTATCCAGAAGTCTCACTTTCCAAATAACTACAAAGGTTTTTAAGTGATATTTAAGACTCCCTTGACTTTTCACTAAGTTCAAAGACAAATCCTCCTTATACTATGATACCTTTATCAGCTAGACTGAAGATCTAGCTGTTCGGTAGATCAACGTTCACTTAGCAAATAAGTTTTAGATCAATGATGAGAAACAAATACAATCACTTCCAACTTATGGGTGCCAAAATGTCGAGTCTTAAAAATAATCCTCCAGAACAAGTCTTTTCCAGACAAGGGAGCATCTATGTTAAATTTCATGCCATAGCAGCAGTCTCTTTAAACCTATTACCACCATCCCTCTACCAAAAACTCCCACAAACTCATAACCTTGTGTTAAAGAAGGTCAAGCACTCAAATGTTGGGAAATACCAGAATTAAGTTGCCCGTTCAATCCCAAGGCAGGCCTCTTGTGCACTTCCATTATGAGATAGTCTTTAATTGCATGAGCATGTAACATCTTTTTCACAGAACCCATGTCTCAGAACTCCCCTGTGTTGCTAGTCGAGTCATTTAAACCAGATTTTTTACAGGTGGTTACTAATTGCATGTTCCTCATTTTCTAGGTGCCTGACTTGTGACCTTGGGGTCTGATTTGTAGAAGTGCTCAGTGCTCACACCTGCAACTGAAGTCAATGGGAGCTGTGCTTTGAATGTATAAAGTGTTATGTAATGCGAAGTTCTCTGAAAATCAGGCTTTAGGCATCTCATATCAGTGGATAGTTCTGACCTTAATCTTGCTTGTTCCTCATCTGTAAAATGGTGATATTACTACCTGGTTCACCTTCCAGAGTTGTTGTAAGGGTAATTTATTTAATGCATGTAAAAAGTGCTCAGGTACAGGTGCCTATACATTTGGTCAAGGGGGGAGGAGGGAAGTGGCATTTTAATTAGAGTGGTTTCTGTTTAGCCTCTCTAAGTAAAATGGCTCACTATCATGTGTATTAACCCCTCCCTGCATTTCAAAATGGCCTCTGGGGTGCTTCAGCTGAAACTAAGTTGATAATTCAACTAGGGGTTAGTTGAATTAAGGTTTTATAGACAACCCTATTTAAGGTATTTCCTGACTTTTGAGTGTTTCACTCTGCAACTGTCATAATCTTCTTGTAATTAAGGGAAGCATCATTTGATCTCCTCTCTACCCTTACTGGCTCTTAATCTTGGCATCTCATTTTCCTTCCTGATTCTCAGTCCCAGTTTTCTTGCCCAGCTAGGCACAGTTTTTTTGTCCTAACTCCTAGGGTCTTGGAGAGAGAGAGTTCGTGTATTTTACTATCACCCCTAGTTTTCCTATAGGTTTGATTCTTGTACAGTCTGCATTTGAATCAAGCAGCTTCCTCTTCCAAGGTTCCTGAGTCCAGCAGGGGATCAGTCAAATTAGTCTTTCTGTTCTCCCATCAGATGCCCATACCTGGCATGGCCCAGAGCAGCTAATAGTTGTGGGTACAGGGACAGGCTTTCTGAATCCCAGCCTGGGACATACATACTGTGCATAGAATATTTGTTAAAATCTAACAAAAAAATTAAACAAGTGTGAACTGAGACTAAAAACAAGGCTAGATTTTGACAGATTTTCAGGGATAGCAAAACCTACTTTTCTTAACTTCATTCTCAGAAATGGCATTTACTATTTTATCCGAGTATTTTCCATAAAGTTCAATGTGAGGCAGACACAGCATATAAAATTTCTGCCCAAATGGTTAACATCTGGTAAAATTCTAAGCCACTGAAAACAGGTCTTACAATGGGAAGCATTGGCTGTTGGCACTGCATTTATGACCCAGATACCTTGTTCCAGGTGGACCCAAACCCTTAGACCTACCACAACCTCTCCATTCATAGATTCATAGATGTTAAGGTCGGAAGGGACCTCTATAGATCATTGAGTCCGACCCCCTGCACAGGCAGGAAAGAGT